TCATAACTTCTGAAACACCTGATAAAAAATTTGCCGGATGATTTTTAGCCGATCCGATTAAGTTAGTGATTTCGGCATGATCGGTGTATATAAAAGTTATGAAGTATCAGAGATTAATCAAGATCGGGTACGATAGGTACCTTGATCATCAAGTGCATGAATATGATGAAAAATTTAATTAATTAATACAAAGAAATAGTTAAGCTGTAATACAAAATATGTAATTGTTTGAGTCGCTTATGTAAATAAAGAATTCAACAGTCTTGCGACTGAAAAAGAAAAATTGAGTAGTAAACGGATAAGTGAAGTAGTTTCATACGTGTTGTTAGTTAAGTGCGTCGATAAAGGTGTGTACGTCTCTAAAGCCAAGCAAGTCCATAAATCATAATAAACTGTCTGGATTAGATAGCAGTCACTACGGTGATTGCTTAACTCTACGACAAATATCATACTTGTTTACTTGTTCCACCAATAATTTTATAATGTCGACTCATTCTTCAACATTATTGAACTTTCGTTTGAATGCTTGCCCAACGTGTCTGGTGTGTTTAGTTTGTGCAAAAGATTATGGAAAAGACTGCTCTTGTCAACAAATAAATCTTAACAAGAAATATAAAAAGGGCTCCGGATATAAAGTAAACTTCCATAATAAACATATTACTCGAATAGGCGCTAGCATTAAGAAAGTCAAATATGATCAAGAATTCGTCGACTGGTTTAATAATGTAACGCAACTTGTGGTTCCAAAAAACCAAGATTTAATTAATATTTGCCAAGAATGTATTAAAGATTATGATCGACGAAATCAAAGTAAATTTACAGGTATATATCGATATGTATTACTTTTACAGTATATACTTAATATATATTAACTATACTGTATATTAATATTTAAATAAAAAAGAAAACCAGGACGAACTAAATGATAATATTGAAACTGTAGACTTAACGATTAAAGATTCTTTCGATTGTTTGTCATCAGTAACAACTACTTTCACATTACCTAACTTGTCTGAAATAATAATGATTGATTCGGAAATTATGAAAGAACCAGAAATTATTAATGTGAGAGAACCCAAACCAGAAATTGATACAAAAGAATCTAATATAAGTAAGATATAATACAGAGTACTTGGGATATTTATTCAATATGTTTTTTAAAATTAACTATAATTAATCATTTTTAATTTCAGCATTTATTACTTTGGTATGTTACGATCGATTTGAAAAACCTCATAAAAAGTTAGATGGGGCATTAGCAATTCCATATATTCTTGATGATGTCAAGAACTTCGGAAATATTGAAGAAGAAATTTTATCCCGTACACTTCCTGAACAATGTGGAAAAATCAAATTAGGCCATATATGTTATCAAGTTTTAAACACATCTAAGGCTGATCACTATGATTTAAAAGCTGATGGAGCCATTACTGCATTTATAGCTGGAATAAAAAATAAAAAAAAATTCCAATTATGTATTTATCAAGAAAGTGAAAGTCAAGAAAGTAATGAATTCAATAAAGCAAATAAGAGGATTCGTGTAAGTTATTTTTTATTTATTAAAATATAGTTATTTTATTTTATTTATTTTATATAAATATTTTATTTATTGTTAGACACTCGAAACTGAATCAGAGACAATCAATACAATAAATACTATTAAAAAAAGTATCTACGAAAATCTTCCATCTTGCGATACACATATTCAGGGATGTTTGATTTCCGAAGATGGCCGACATTTAAAATTAGATGGTGATATTGTAACACTATGGGCTCGTGCAATTGTATGTTATTAATATATGTACATTATATTATATATATATATATATATATGTATAAAATTTTTTTTTATAAGCTTACTAAAATGCCAGGTGTTGATGAAAAAACTCCACCGAATATTCCACATTTTGATAAAACAAAGTATCGATATCCAATATCTAAACGTCCTTTAAATAATAATAGCACTATATTAAATGAAGGTATATTATATTTTAATATTTAAATTTTTATCTATTTTTATATTAATTTATTTTTATATTAATTTATTTTTTATAATTTATAGCTAATTCAATGAATTATTCTACTTCAATATTACATGCTAATTCTATCTTAACAACTGAGTCAATACTTCATTCCGTAACTGTTCATACCAAAAAAAAATCTCCATTTAAGTCAAACATTCATATTACTCAAGATATGACCTTTTAAAGTTTACTTGCCTATATATTCCCTAAAGGTTCTCCAAATGGAAAACGATTTGTTATTAAATCATCTTTAGATATTAGTGGTAAAAATTATTTATCTGAACAAGTTATAAGCAAACTATTCACGGATGAACACGTCAACATTTGGATAGATATAGAGAATATTGATGTAAACTATGACGAATTATTTGATTAAATAGTTTTTATAATAACTGCTATTTCATATATTATATATGCATGTATTATATGTTTATTATAAATAATTTATTTATTTTTACAATTTGCTAAATATATATTATTATTCAGAAATTTTACAATTAATAACAAATATTATTATCTAGTTTAAAAAGGGCTTGTAAATGTGTTTGATATTTGAATTATGCTAATTTGACTTGATTATAGTTGTATTATGGCTTCTTAATGCCTCTACATTATTTGGCACAATTTCTAATGATTTATTTAAATCTGCAAGTGATTCTTTATATCTTTTCATCATGAAATAAGTATCTCTACGACTTTTAATATAAATGCATTATTCGGTTTAATTCCTAACAAAGTATTTATATCTGTGAGTATGAAATTTTTACCCAAATTTTTAATATTTTTATAATTCATTGTTTTAAGGTTCTGCGTCAATGCATTTATTCATCAGATCCAAAAATAGTTGAGGAACTTGTATCTGATTTCAGGACTATAACCTAGACAAATATGTATTGCTAGATCTTCGTTGTATAGAATATTATGATATAGAGGATATCCAGTAAAACTTTTGACATAATTATTCCAAAAGAATAAATATCTGATTTTGAGTATATTTCTTTTCATTTTTATATAATATCTATATGGAGGTATACCAAAAGTGTTTTAGAAGTAATGCCAGCTTATATAAGCCAAAATTAGTTATGAAAGAACTATACTAACTATACATAAAAATTTTTATATACGTACTAATTTTATTACTTATTAAATATAAAGTAAATATATTGTTCTTATATATAAGCCACAGATAATACATATTATATATTACAATTATTATTGTATATATCCTGAATGCTGATAATATGCATGTGCTAATTGTTTATCGATTGTCATACAAATTAGATCTAAGACATCGAAAGGATTTTCCATCGATTCTGCCCAAACTTTATTTTGTCGCAGATAATTTTTTATATAAAAAAAAGCTTGTTCTATCTAAATATATTAAAATAAGTTTATTAAATTACAGTATTACATATAATATATATTAAATTACTAATTATCATTATTACCGGATTGAAATCTGGTGAGTAAGCAGGTAAAAACTCTAATCGAACTCCTTTTTCTTCACAAAGATCTCGTAAATATTGACTTTTATGGATAGATGCATTATCCAAAACCAATACACTGTATTGTTCAGGGAATGGATTCATTTTCGGCAACTATAAATTTATTAAATATATATATCAATATTTAATTTTACATATATATTGTATTTTACATATATGTAAAGTGTATATATATTTATTATAAAAGATTCTTACTAAAACGTATTCAATAAAATCTTCATAATCATTAGAGTTCATTGCACCTTCTTGAATACAATAAGCTAGAAATCCCTCAGTACACAGT